CTTCCATTTGTGATACCTCTTTTCCAGTCTGTTTCTTTTTTGGGCATAGTTTGGCTCTCCTATGAAAGTTCATGAATTTACTTGGATGCTCTTCTCTATGCCAACTCGGTTTCTTTCGTCCGAAGTTGACGCTGTCAGTCCCACCAAAAGACAGTACAGCAAGACGAAGAACGCTAGTTATTTAAATTAGTGACTCTGTCGTCATCCGAAACTCTGAAAATGCAATAGCCACTGATCAATGTTTTTAGTCAAACAGACAAGACGGGTAGGGATTGAGAGAGGTGGTAGTTAATATTTGCCGTCTCACAGTGTGGTGATGACGGACAGCTGGGCCACATCCCTTGACCGAGTGGGCGTTGCGCGTGACAGCAGCACGGAGGGTAGATCGACGTGTCTGTTGATGGGTGTGTTGTCAGGCCCCTAGCATTTTCGGTCTCGCTTTACTGCTGGTTTGTGAGATTATCCGTGTGCTCACGACGTTGAATTAATGGCCTTACTCCAGCTTGTAAATATATTTGAGACGTTAGAGCGCCTTGCCGAATCTTATTCGCTAGTCGAGTTTTCGTTTAGTCTGACCTACATAACGGCGAGTACAGTCGCTGTCTGGAATTTTATCAAGTACCCCAAGTTGCTCTACTTAATGCAGCCAGTCCCTCATTTATAGGATCCTGGAATGCTTGGCAGCTGTGGGACGACGAATGGTGCCCACGCCAAATCCTGTGGCAATACGTTCCGTCCCTTCTTAAACATCCTTTATATGGGGGCCGAGAGTGCTAGACTATTGGTGACTCTCCTCCCTTTAATTCCCGCTGGCAAAGGTTCATAAATTTGTTTGAGTATCCATTACTTGCTAGTTGTTCTCAAGGGTGTTGTAGTTCCTGTACTTGTCCCTCCGGTTTACTTAAGTGCGTTTTTGATCCTTGGAAAAAGGCTGTAACACAGTAGCGTTTATGCGTCATCGGGTGGCAGCTATGATAAGTACAGATCTGATTTGTCTTAGTCGCCTTTCTCTACACTTCGATGTATGTAATGAGGACGTCAAGGAGAGGCAACTGTTCGGTATTCTCTTCTTCCCTCGTAAAATGAATGTTGGAGGAGATGCCGTCAAGTATGTCTAAAAGATGTGAGTCTATCTCTCTCACTTATAACGAACATTTCGTCCACTGATCGGCACCTTCTGCTTCTTTGCAACAAAAACAACAACAACCCGGAATTCGCATTTAAACTTTCATTTGGGAGAGTATAAAGAAGGCATAGATTTGAGTAGGTAGCGGCTCATGACGATCGAAACTTGTACACCTTTACCTGAACTGTGCCCTTTCGTTGAATACCCTTAAGCAATAACTAAATGGTAAAAAAGATGAACAAAGAAAAACAATAGCATGATCATATTCTGAGGTGTGATCGGATCCGTGATCAGATTAATCAATTGCCTGCCTTTGCTGTTCTGAGGGGAGTACGTGGAGGTGAAAACTAAAAGACAATGAAGTATCTCGGGAAATGCTTAATGCACAAAATGACTTAACTGTTTGCATTGATTGGTTTGGCCTTCCGTACGCAGGCTGTTCCAGTGACGTGCAGTGTGCGATGAGTATCGATACATAGCCGATTTACGATAAATCAAATGTAAGTGTTCGTCAATTGAGTTCACGCAAAAGACTATAAGTTATTTAACCTTATATACAAATGTCTTCTGTAGTACGATTAAAAAACGCGAGAGAGCGCCTATGTAGCCCCATGCAGGCTTTATTTCTGACACATGTCTACTCATTTCGTTTATGTAGACAATTAATATAAGGGTTACAGTTAGTTTGGAGTCGCCCAGTCATCGTTAAGTAATAATCACAGCGTATACTGTTCCGCCAATTAAAGCGCTCTTAGGCAACAGTAGCTTATGTAGCCCCACTCATTAATCCCTAAAACCTGCATGTTTTCATACGAAAACGGTGTTTATCGGATTTTATGGGCGGGAAAGTAGGACACGCAGTGGAATATACTTTAACAAATGCTAAATACATTTTTATTTTCCTGTATTTAGAAGTGTTGTTGATTTAT